TTCAACGCTGACGTCACGAACGGGCCTTCGAGCTATGCACCTGTTCCTCATACGTAGCAGTTTATTTGACGTTTTACACGTATCCCACTATACACAACCTAATGTAGTATGACGACCACGTAGACGTCAGCAAAATTCGTATATCACATTTTATCGGATATTAAATATCGAACAAGATTTAAAGTTAGAAAGAAAAGCTTTCAAATAGTAAAAATAAATAGATTTTCTGGCGATGGCATATACATTAATACCAACAATAGAGTTTAATAGAATATAATTCATACAATTTTAATCGAAATATTTACGATTTTAAAATATATTCAATTTAATAACACAATTTTATTTGAACAAAAAAAAAGATGTTATGTTATTAACGTCAGGACGAACATTGAATTCTAGATTTTGCTGATGATAGCATCTTTCAATTTCTTTATCTCAATTTTCTACAGAACCCACTCTTTTTTCCTTTTTTTTTTCATTTACATTTATACTTTATATTTCGCATGAATTTCTAACGAAATATGCTTACATGTACGTAATTTGCCCTTAAGCGAATAATCTAATAGTGTGCCTACTTAATAACACGTTAACTAGAAAATCATCTCTTAACGTTTGCAATTTCCACACCAAACAACCATTCAAAGTGCCATAACGGCATATGGTTACTATACATAGTTGTTTGCTATGAAAACACTCTCCACGCCTAAAACGACGGTATTGTTTACGCAATCATTTAATTGATTACGTATATCCTCACTTGCACAATCATTTATTAACATAAATGTTCTAACGCGTAAAAGTACTTATCATCAATATCTAAATTGCATCAAAATTTGATGAAGAATTAAGATGAAATTAAATAATTAACTTTTTTTTGTGTTAATAAAAAATGTGAGTTTTCAAAAAGTGATCTTAAATCATTATTAAACATTATTATCTTGTTGTTGGAAATATAGCAGGATTCATTCTTGGAATACAGAATGAGTAAAAAGAAATAATTGGTGTCATTTATTTGGAAAAGATTCTATACCCTCGGGACGCAAACAAATTAAACAACATTAAGCAGCCCCAAGATTCATGTTATTCGGTCAAGCTTTATTCGACGATTTATTGCAAATGAAATCAATTTCAATCTGTTTAATACGGAGTATTTTTATAGAAATTGGACTACTTTAAACTCAACATATAATTGATTTTATAACATCTTAACATTTATTAACATCTTTTTCTACGTTTTTTTATTATTCTTTGTAAATTTATCTCTTTTCATCGATTTTAACTTTGTACAGTCGTACTTGATATGGTTAAAAATAGACGACGTGAAACTTTATCAATAATAGTGTCATTTCAAGAACGTTTTGGACTTTTCAATTTTACCCCAACGAGTTTCGTGGAAGTAATTTCAGAAACTTGTGCAAATATTTCCTCGAAACCTTCTGTCATCCCTGAAAACTATTTACCCGGCGTAAAAAATGCATTCCATCACCACGTTTAAACTTCAATAATTTATCTTAAAAACTTTGGTTTTAATTTACTTAAAATTCACTCGATCATTTTTATTTAATTATTAGGTTTCTTTAAATCGTTTTTTTTTTGTAAAAGTATTTAAGACTATTAAAGTTTTCGCAAGGGCTAGTATCAACTCAACCAAGTATTTCCAATTCAGAAGCTTCGTCAGATAAAAATAAGCTCTTACATTGAAACCCGTCTGATTCAACCAGTAAAATATTTCTGTTGGATTTTTGCTGTCCACACGAACACCGAATTTTTACACAAAAAGAGAGATGAAAAGTCTCTTTTCAGTATGCCACGCACAATGACTCTCGGTTCGCCCAACCGATTTGAAATAGCATGACATTTTATATGCATATCAACTAAACGATTTTTTTATTCTTTTAACCGCATCAAATTATTTACCATATAAAATATAAACTGAAAAAAATAACATTTAATTCATTTTAACCGGCTCCTCCACCGAAATATGTTATCTATATAATCAAGAAAATTTAATAATTTAAAGCTTTCAGCGGAAATTGGATTAACTTTACGACGAAAACTATTTCGTAAAGTTAATAAACTCAAGTTTTCCGTTTAATTTAACAACTTTATTAAAAACGTTTTAAACTTTTTCACGTTAATTTAATGTTACTTCTCAACATTTAAGTAATTCGTCTTATTTACTACAATTTCCCTTTTAATAAAGCAAATTCCGGATAGTAATGTCTGCAAATCTTGAGCATTACTCAGATTTAGTGAAGTTTGCATATCGCAGAACCGTAAGCTCGTAGTTGGCAACTACCCAAAATTAAATGCAAATCTAAAGCTTTCAAAATCTATCTTTTGTGCCGTTTTAGATTAAACGTTAAAAACCCAGAAATTTTAAGATGGTCATTTAAATTTTATTCGGTTTTTAGTTTTTAACGTTTTGTTTAAATTGACAAATCTTATTTGGTGAACATTTAACGGATTAGCATTCCTAATTTTGGCTTCTAAATCAACGAGCGAATCGAGTTTTAGTCACGAAATATGGTAATTGTTGGGAAATCGAGTTGTTACTATCACAAAAGAGAATGTAAAGATATATCCTTATTTACGATTTCGAAATGAATCAAGTAATCAAACCAAGGACAAATTTCTTTTTATTAATTTTTTTTTTGTAAAATTATAGAGTATCAGATCTCGTTTCAATGCAAAAGTGCTTTTAAAGCAAATCTTAATTGATGTCTTGCAAAGCATAATTCTCTCATCCGGGTCCGTGGGGAATTTGAAGTGCATTTTATTAAAGTAGTTCAACAAAATCGATTTAACTATGTGTGTATCTGCATGTGAGAACCAATTTTGCATACATCACAGAGATATTCCACTCGTGGTTTCACCTTGATTACAAACAGTTCTCTTGTGGCCTAACATTACGGTGGATGTGTACTCAGATTGATTATATGGATGTTTATAGAAGGAAAAGCAATTTACCACTTTGTACCAAATCATAATCTATTATGTAAACGAATAATAATACCTTATTTTTCGTGAAGATAGTTGAAAGAATTAAATAAATAAAAGAATTTTTTTGGGTACAATTCTAACCGCATTGTATTTTAGCCATACATTATTCATTGCCTCTTCTTTAACATGTACACAATTCAAGCTGTCTTTTCGGGAATAGTATCTCTTTGTTGAATTTTCATTCACAATTTACATATAACATTTTTTTTATACGATGTTTAAGCTTGAAAATCTTTTTATTAAATGTTGTAATAATAATAATGTTTATTGCCTCAAAAACAAATATTTACATGAATATATACATTCATAACATATATCATTTTAAAAACTAAACATTGAGCTTAAATTTAAAATAAGTCTCATTCCTTAATTTCAATAAACATGGTTTCTAAGAATTTTTAAATTAGCATCTTTTTTGACTCTTTTAAATGTAAGTGTTGTTTCAACATTTTTTTTCTTAATATTTTTCCAATCCAACCCAACAATTATTATACATCATTTTAAAGAGAAAGCTTTGAGCTTTAATTTAAAATAAGTTTCATTCCTTAATTTCAATAAATACGGCTTCCAGGAATTTTTAAATTAGCATCTTTTTTGACACTTTTAGGTTATACGAAAATGTAAGTTTTGTTTCAACATTTTTTTTCTCAATATTTTTCCAATCCAACCCAACAATTATTATACATCATTTTAAAGAGAAAGCTTTGAGCTTTAATTTAAAATAAGTTTCATTCCTTAATTTCAATAAATACGGCTTCCAGGAATTTTTAAATTAGCATCTTTTTTGACACTTTTAGGTTATACGAAAATGTAAGTTTTGTTTCAACATTTTTTTTCTCAATATTTTTCCAATCCAACCCAACAATTATTATACATCATTTTAAAGAGAAAGCTTTGAGCTTTAATTTAAAATAAGTTTCATTCCTTAATTTCAATAAATACGGCTTCCAGGAATTTTTAAATTAGCATCTTTTTTGACACTTTTAGGTTATACGAAAATGTAAGTTTTGTTTCAACATTTTTTTTCTCAATATTTTTCCAATCCAACCCAACAATTATTATACATCATTTTAAAGAGAAAGCTTTGAGCTTTAATTTAAAATAAGTTTCATTCCTTAATTTCAATAAATACGGCTTCCAGGAATTTTTAAATTAGCATCTTTTTTGACACTTTTAGGTTATACGAAAATGTTAGTTTTAACTCAATACTCTTTTTCTCAATATTTTTTTAATTCAACCCATCGATTGTTATACATCGATTTAAACAGAAAGCTTCAAGCTTCAATTTAAAATAAGTTTTATTTCTTAATTTCAATAAACACGGTTTCCAGGAATTTTTGAATTAGCATCTTTTTAGGGGATTGCATATTTTGCTAAAATTTTATTCCAAAGGGTTTTACTGAGTATATTTTGATAGCGTTTTAATTCTGTCTGATTCTGTCACAAAGTTTCAAAATGTTTGACTTCTTGGGACACAAAGGGTTAAGTAAATTATGGCTACCAAAAAAGTAACACTAAATGATGTGCTAATAAAACTGTTAATCATCTCGAAAAAATATTGGATACTACAACCTAAATATTCGATTCCACAACCGATTTTCGCATCGTTAGCATAGCTATTATTTGTAGTGTTAACTATCACTATCAAACACACCCCGTTTTATGGTACCTGAATGTCGCAATAATATAACAATAATGTGCCGAAAAGAGGAATGAATCATTTTAACTGTGTGGAGTCAAAACCACAATCTCAGTATTTATTGATAAACGAGGTCAGTAACTGGTTCACCGAATATAGTGGTTCCATAAATTTCCTACGAACCTGTTAGCTTTTCGATGGTTGGAAATAACTTAAATTGCATGCTAAAAAAAAGAAATTAATTCATGGAATTGTGAAATAAAATATAATTTACACCTACGAAACTACGCCAGATGTGTCCCTTTAATAAACGAGATTTTCAAAATGTTTCTTTTGTTACAGTATTGTGTACTTCCAGCAACGAGGTCATGCCCGGATCTTTTGGAGTTGTCACCTGTGAACTATTTTCAGTTCGCACGTAGAGTACATAGATTTGTCACTGAGAAAAAATTGTCGGCATCCGCAAGCTACAGATCTCTTCTTCAAACAGAAAAATAACCATGAATTTATCATCGATACAATTCACCACGTTCGAACCAATTTTGTTTGATGAAAATAATGGAACATTGAATAAAACTATGGATTATATCTTCGATCGATTATATATCAGAGTTATTTTTATTACTCTGTATAGTATCGTTTTTTGTTTATGCGTATTCGGTAAGTTATTTAATTAATAAAACATTATTTAATCAAAAAAAACTTTGAAATACAACAGTTTCAAAAAGAAATCAACTTCACAAAACTATAAAGTGTAGTTTCGTGTTTTAAACGTTTCTTTAAAACTGCGAAGGTATTCCATTTTCAACATAAAAAATTCAAAACGCGTACATCTCGTTCAAGGAGAAGAATCAATATACAAAAAAAAATTTAAACAGCACTGAAAAGTTGAAACTTTCATATAAAAGCGGCATTTCGTACCTCTCCATGTAATTTTACTAAAACCCGAAAAGTTTTTTGCTATCAAAGTTCTATCCACCACTTTGCGAGCCCATTAATCAAAAATATTCGCCCTTCAGCACTTAAAATGGTAATACGCATTATCTCCATTAATAAATTACCATAAAATACTATCGCAACTGCAATTTAATTTAAATACAAACACGCTAGTGAAAGAATAATTATCATACATATGTTCTTTATGATATCACACAAAAGAATTAAAACGTTTTGTATTAATTAAAAAATGATTGATTTTTCTTAATTAACTTTCAATCAGGTGTTAATAAGCATTTCAGTTCGTCAACTATCAACAAAGCTTATCTTCTCGTTAACACTACGAGAATGATCGATGGTTGTATTTAATACAGTAAAATCCCGATAATTTATACTAATTTTAGTTGTTATTCAGCGCTAAATTGTTGTATATTCTTATTGAATAAAAAGTAGAACTACACTAGACCTAGAACTAGTGTTAGTTCTTCTGACAGTGCTAGGTAGCGCTATTTAGCATTATATATCTACTATATTGCATACTTTTATTGAACTAAAACTAGAACTAACACTAGACCTAGAACTAGAAACATTCGGGTTTAGCCGTGCGTGTTCAGACGCAACATAATGATTATATTTGATAGAACTTTCTAGTTCTAGGTCTAGTGTTATTTCTAGTTTTACACTAACACTGTCACTAGAAATAACACTATACCTAGAACTAGAATCGTTCGAGTTTAGCCGTCTTGAGCGACGTTCGGCTAAACCCGAATGTTTCTAGTTCTAGGTCTAGTGTTAGTTCTAGTTTTACACTAACACTATCACTAGAACTAACATTATACCTTGAACTAGAAGCATTCGAGTTTAGCCGTCTTAAGAGACGCACGGCTAAACCCAAAACTTTCTAGTTCTAGGTCTAGTGTTAGTTCTAGTTTTACACTAGGTCTGTTACTAGAACTAACACTCTACCTAGAACTAGAAACATTCGGGTTTAGCCGTCTTGAGAGACGTGCGGCTAAATCCCAATGTTTCTAGTTTTAGGTCTAGTGTTAGTTCTAGTTTTACATTAGCTCTGTTACTAGAACTAACACTAGACCTAGAACTTGTCGTTATACACTAACACTGTCATTAGAACTAACACTATACCTAGAACTAGAATCATTAGGGTTTAGCCGTCTTGAGAGACGTTCGGCTAAATCCGAATATTTCTAGTTCTAGGTCTAGTGTTAGTTCTAGTGTTACACTAGCACTATCACTAGAACTAACACAAGACCTAGAACTAGAATCATTCGGGTTTAGCCGTCTTGAGAGACGTTCGGCTAAACTCGAATGATTCTAGTTCTAGGTAGAGTGTTAGTTCTAGTTTTACATTAGCTCTGTTACTAGAACTAACACTAGACCTAGAACTTCTAGTTATACACTAACACTGTCATTAGAACTAACACTATACCTAGAACTAGAATCATTCGGGTTTAGCCGTCTTGAGAGACGTTCGGCTAAACTCGAATGATTCTAGTTCTAGGTAGAGTGTTAGTTCTAGTTTTACATTAGCTCTGTTACTAGAACTAACACTAGACCTAGAACTTCTAGTTATACACTAACACTGTCATTAGAACTAACACTATACCTAGAACTAGAATCATTCGAGTTTAGCCGTCTTGAGAGACGTTCGGCTAAACCCAAATGATTCTAGTTCTAGGTAGAGTGTTAGTTCTAGTGACAGTGTTAGTATAACACTAGAACTAACACTAGACCTAGAACTAGAAATATTCGGATTTAGCCGTTTTGAGAGACGTTCGGCTAAATCCGAATGTTTCTAGTTCTACGTCTAGTGTTAACTAGTTTTAATTGTTGTTCAGCATTGACGTCACGAACGGGCCTTTGCATTGGGTTTTTAGATTCTATCGTCCTTGATGTAAATATTAAGCCACACAGATTTAACGTAACGTATTAATCCATTATATCGAGGTTTTATTGTATATAAAAAAGTAAGTGTAAAACAACAATAAAGAATAAGTAAAACCATATTTATTTGATCTTATTTGATGATCTAAATCACAAAATGAAACGACAAATTAATAATGTTTTGAGGGTGTTTGTTCACAGCATCAAGTCCAAACAATAGGGTGAAATGATAAACAAACCCAGTAAAGCTGAAACGAAACGACGAAGAAGATTTTGATGAGGGTTGGAATTCAAGGAAAGGTTTATGACCTTAACCCGTATTTCGTTTACACGTTACGGTAATCGTGGAGACCTTGACCTTTTTTTGTTATATTTTTTTTTTTGAAAGGGGAGTTGGAATCTCTTTGAACCAGACAAAGATCAAAAGCAATCGCAGCTTTAAAGAATATTACATTTTTTACGTCGATTTTTATAACCCGAAACCATAAAATTTCCTAGTTTAATTTAGAATTATTACTTTTTTAATCTTAAAAGAGTTTAAAGGTGTAAAAAATAACATAAAAGATAGATTGATTGATTAATTATAATTAGATTTTTTGTAGGTATTAGTTTAGGTTCCGGCTCCTCCACCAATTATTGTTTTTTTTTAAATTTAATTATTAAATTTGGATTAAACTCATTAAACAAAATGGGATTTAGGATGGTAGGGGATAAAGTATTTTGGCGTAGATCCAAATAATTGAGAGAACGAGTTTGTACACGTAAATGGTTAAAAATCTATACCTTAAGAGCTAAATGTTGTTTCAAAAAATTGAGCTGATACTTTTTTGGGTATTCAAGGACACTTTCATAACGATTCGTGTTTTTATTTGAACTCCTATAATAATAAGATCCATCTTGTACCTATTATCGTTATTTACTTTTTGTCTTTTGTTCTCTGGAACGTTATTATTTTAAATTTAGTTCCACGCAAATAAATCTTAAACTTGTTGAAAGCCTGAATTTCTGCCAAAACTTCTAATTCATAACTATTGTACTTTTGCTCAAGTTGGTGTAGTCTTTCTATTCATGGATATAATTTGAAGTCATTGTCTATAATACACAAACTTCGAATCCAAACATTCATGCAACTCTGGGTAACTGTAAAATAAATTATGTATTAAACGAGTAAATAAACTCAACCTACAAGAAATGCCTAAATTAGTTTTTTTAATTATATCTTTCTGATTATTTTCAGGCAACTTACTGGTGATTCTCGGAGTAACATTAAGTCGTCGATTACGACCCATAACAAATTTCTTTTTGGCTAATCTGGCTGTTGCCGATTTCTGCGTTGGAATTTTTTGCGTATTCCAAAACTTATCCATGTATTTAATATCTTCGTAAGTAATTTTTGTTAACAAATTCCTTTATTTGCTTTAATTGTTTTAATCCTAATTCAATATCATCATAATTGGATGCATTAAATATTTGTAAAGAGTCAATTGTACTTCAAAAGCCGCTCTGTAAATAAAAAGGAGGCTAAGTGTCCACTTGAGCTTTTCAAGTTACGAGTGGATTCAAGTTCACCAAGAAATAAAGTACCTTTTCTTTACAAATAATTCATTTGGTACTCAATTACATTAAAAGAGTACTCACATTTTTTTTAAGAATTAATTTTTTTTATGCTAAACTTATGGTGTAATAAACTTTTTTAAAATATGCGGTTTCGTTTTATTTTCAGTTGGATCCTCGGCGACTTCCTCTGCAAAATGTATTACTTCGTAAATACCCTCAGCTACACTGCGAGTATATTTATCTTGGTGGTTATTTGCACCGAACGTTATTTTGCGATAATTTATCCTATTACGTGCAAACAGATATTAACACCAAGAAGATTAAGGGTAAGTTATATTTTTCATTTAAAGTTATTTCATTTACATAAATCCATTTACGTAAATATTTTGGTTTTTAAAATATCTCCGGATGTATTTCTTTGCTACAATTATATTTCCCGAAAGAAATCGGAGATTCTATCACGGAAAAGAAAATGTTTTGGGTCGAGGTTCTTTTAAAATTTTATAATAAAGAATAATTTGCATCGCTATAAATATAAATAAAGCTTAACCTCGACTAAAACATCATTCTCTTGTAAGCTTTTACAACCAATGCCAAAGCTCGAGAGTTCGACCATAAATTGTGTATGCAGCGGTCACGATATCTCGGTTCACATTGGATGCATTGCCGACGTTTATTACCGGAGCTGCCTCAGGACAATATGACCAAGGACCTCTGCTATCCGACCTCCTTGAATCAAAATTTACTACCTACACAAACTCTTCTAAACTCCATCTAAACATAAATCAAAATAAACCAAAAAACGTGGTCGTAAAAAGCTTTCCGCCTTCTTTAATCAAAACTTCCCGCCGAATTATGGCACAAATACTCATCTCGTTATTTTTAGTAACCGCAAAACGTGTTGTCTGTTGCATTTTCAGTTGGTGATACTCGGAGTTTGGTTAACGAGTGCACTTTACAGTTCTCCAAAGTTTCTTTGGTACAACGTCATCACCGTCGAGGGGGAACATGGAAATGAAACAATCTGCATAAACAATAGGATGAAATATAATACTGAAATTTTTGATATCGTCAATTTCGTTTTGCTTTATGTCATTCCATTAGCTTTGATGAGTGTAAGTACCTACCAAATTAATTATAAGTTAACACGATTAAAGAAATTGATAATCAATCAAATGTTATGGATAGTTTTGATAATTTCCAACTTTTAATCAATTTCCGTTTTAACCATTTATCAAATTTAGCAAATTATAAAGTTTTAACTCTCATTTAATACAGTACAACCTCGATATAACGGACCTCGTTAGAATAGACTTCGAATATAATGGATACAATATTTTTAAGAGCGCTCATAGATATTACTATGTTGCGTTTAGCATCTGAAGATGCATGGTTAAACCCGAAAGTTTCTAGTTTTAGGTCTAATGTTAGTTCTAGATTTAATAATTCTAAATAAATATTCTAAATAACAATTATTATTATTCAGCGTTAGATTGTTGTACCTACATGTTTATTAAACGAAAAGTAGAAGTAACACCAGACCTAGAACTAGAAACATTCGGGTTTAGCCGCACGTCTCTTAAGACGGCTAGTGACAATGTTAGTGTAAAACTAGAACTATCACTATACCTAGAACTAGAAACATTCAGGTTTAGCCGTCTTGAGAGACGTGCGGCTAACCCGAATATTTCTAGTTCTAGGTTTAGTGTTAGTTCTTATGACAGTGCTAGGTAGCACTAGTTAGCACTAGATATCACTAGGATACCACTGTTACATATTTGTATTGAAGTAACACTAGAACTAACACTAGACCTAGAACTAGAAACATTCGGGTTTAGCCGTGCGTGTTCAGACGCAACATAATGATTAGATTTGATAAAACTTTCTAGTTCTAGGTCTAGTGTTATTTCTAGTTTTACACTAACACTGTCACTAGAAATAACACTATAACTAGAACTAGAATCATTCGAGTTTAGCCGTCTTGAGCGACGTTCGGCTAAACCCGAATGTTTCTAGTTCTAGGTCTAGTGTTAGTTCTAGTTTTACACTAACACTGTCCTAGAACTTCTAGTTATACACTGACACTGTTATTAGAACTAACACTATACCTAAAACTAGAATCATTCGGGTTTAGCCGTCTCTTGAGAGACGTTTGGCTAGAGACGTGGGCTAAACCCGAATGTTTCTAGTTCTAGGTCTAGTGTTAGTTCTAGTTTTACACTAACACTGTCACTAGAACTAGCACTATACCTAAAACTAGAACCATTCGAGTTTAGCCGTCTTAAGAGACGTGCGGCTAAACCCGAATGTTTCTAGTTCTAGGTCTAGTGTCAGTTCTAGTTATACACGAACACTGTCACTAGAACTAACATTATACCTAGAACTAGAAGCATTCGGGTTTAGCCGTCTTAAGAGACGCACGGCTAAACCCAAATGTTTCTAGTTCTAGGTTTAGTGTTAGTTCTTATGACAGTGCTAGGTAGCATTGGTTAGCACTAGATATCACTATGTTGCATATTTTTATTGAAGTAAAACTAGAACTAACACTAGACCTAGAAGTAGAAAGATTCGGATTCTAGTTTTACTGTAACACTGTCACTAGAACTAACACTATACCTAGAACTAAAATTGTTCGGGTTTAGCCGTCTTAAGAGACGTGCGCCTAAACTCGCATGTTTCTAGTTCTAGGTCTAGTGTTAGTTCTAGTTTTACACTAACACTATCACTAGAACTAGCACTATACCTAGAACTAGAATCATTCGGGTTTAGCCGTCTTAAGAGACGTGCGGCTAAACCCGAATGTTTCTAGTTCTAGGTCTAGTGTCAGTTCTAGGTCTAGTATTAATTCTAGTTTTAATTGTTATTCAGCGCTGACGTCACGAACGGGCCTTTGAACTGTGCAGTTGTTCCCAGGATATAGCAGTCCTTTTAGATTCGTTTTTTCATTTCAATAATTCATATAACGTACTTTTGACTATAACAGACACTCCTTTCCCCGTACTAATCCGTTATATCAAAGTTTTACTATATTTCTATTTCGAAACTGAAGTTTCATAAACATCAAAATCAGTTTATGAAAATAAACATCCAATTTATTAGTTAAACAACACGTGTATCGCGTTTATAATTAATTGGAACACATTAATACCGATTTGTTGATCAAACTATGTGTTAACGTTTAAATTATGACTTAATAAACTATTCATAAACTAAAAATGATTTTTGTTATGACTTTTCAGTAAAGTTTAACGAGACTTAAGGTTTCATTCATGAATAATCCATCTAAATCCATTCAAATCCGTAATTCTAGCTAACTAGCAACATTTCATTACATCAGCTTCTAACTCGTATTCTGTTCCGAATTTCCAGCTTCTGTATACGAGGATTGCGATACGACTTTGGAGAAGTTCGGCAATGCTTGAAAAGCAATTGAACGCATCAAACACTATCAGTTATCAAGGTCTAACAAGATCGTTATCTGGTAGACAGAAACAACAATTAGAAGCTAAGGTAAGTTATTTACGGATTATCTGTTTTCCTTTCAACTACGTGTTTAAGAGAGCGATAAAAACCCAATTAAACATCCAAAGGGTTTCGTGTGATCCCGCTATAAAAACTGTTTTAATGCTTTTTTTACTGTAATGATACTTTAATTCTCGTGTATGAAGAGTTATTTTTAGATACGTTAATCGTTTTATTTAACTAAAAGCAATAAATTAAATTGAATTGAGTTTAAAAACATAATTGTGCAATTAAAATATTAAGACAGAAAGAAACAATTCTAAAAGTAACTAAATGTTGACTCTTTAATGAGTTTTAAAAGGATTTAGTTAAACTTTAATCTTTAAATCACTGGGTTTGGATTGCTACACAGATAGTTAAAGTGTTTTAAATAGTTTTAGTCGGATTTAAAACAGATCCAATTTAGAAACACTGATTATGTCTAAATAGTTACAATAAAAGCGAGAATTTTCGAATAAATGTAAATAAATAAAATCAATATATCCCATTTTCAACGTGATAAATTTTTTAAGCTTACCTGGTAATATCCCCATTTCTATTGAAACTGGCAGATTTATAACCGAAGCGATAAACTCTCTTTCCTTTATGCTGAAAAGCGCAAAACTTTCGTAGCAATCGAATAACTTACTCAGATGATAAAACTAAAATTCTATCCTGGTCTAAACCAAAGAGAACAATATAGACAAATAATTGTTCCGAACTGTTCTCCTAGAATGGTGAGAAAAGGTCCAGCTTTCGACAACGAGTACAATTAGAAACCTAATTAAAGGGTCTTCTAAGAGTTCCAATAAAGTTCGTTTAAGTAAGTGTGTGGGAAACCTTACAAATTAATTAAATTTATAATTAAATTGCGTTGAAAAATAAATTGAAATTAAATGTGAATTAAAACAACAAAAATTTATTGGATTTATTTTTTAATCTTTCAACCAATGTGCTGTTTGATGTAGCTTATCCGTTAGAAAGGGTTGAAATATTTTATATCCCCCGAGAAATCATCAAAGTTCACATTAGCAACATCGTAGGCACAAAATCCTTTCAATCTTAGCACGTTTGAATTATATTCTCCTAGGATTACATAATTTATCCAATCCAATTTCTGCGTTAAATTTGATATGATCGGGAATTCCTCTGGGAATTGTTTGGTTTAAACAGAAATTCACATTTAATTAAATCAATATTAAAGTAATAATAATTTAATGTATTGCAATAAAACCTCGATTTATATATTTCAGATCAACCTCGGTTTTTTATCTCCATAAACAAAGATTCCATGAAATTTTAAATTTTCAGTTTTTTTGACATATTTTATAATCCAAGCCAATCATTATTATATTATACATCATTTTAAAAAGCAATCTTTAAGCTTTCTATACTCTATTTTTTAATTCGGAGATGTGTTTTCAAATTGAAGCGCCAAAAAGAAGGGCTGGTATTGGTCAGTTTTAAGCAAAAATTACACTAGGAAAATTCGACATGTTGCCGACCGCCTAGAAACATTCGGGTTTAGTGGCACGTCTCTCAGTATGGCTAAACCCGAAAGATTCTAGTTCTAAGTCTTGTGTTAGTTCTAGTGATAGTGTTAGTTCTAGTTTTAGTTCAATAAAAACATACAACATAGTAATATCTTAAGGTGAGTTTAGACATGCATGGATTTAGTGACGCCAGTAGTTGCGCCAGTTCTATTTGCACGCCAGTAAAGGTTTAAGCTAAGATTCCACATGCATGGATTACTGCGCCAGAAGTTGTTTCCACATAAATGTTATAATTGTGTACTGGCACAGTAATAAAAATGGTGTCAAGTGATGTACATGGCGCTGGCATCAATATGGTAGCCCAAATGTGCTCCTTGGAACTGCACACGTTAACAAAAAAAAAACGAAAACATAGTTGCTGGGTTAGATGATGTAGTACTTTAATTAGAGAATTATGCCATGAAGATCGGCAAGCATTTTTTTAATCATTTAAGAATGACTGAAGAGAGTTTCATGTTTTTGCTGAGGCAAGTATCCTCTAAAATATAAAAACAACATACGCATATGAGAGATGCAATTCCAGCTCACGTACAACTGCAAGCAACTTTAAGATTTTTGGCTTCTGGAGATTCTTCTACATCTTTGCAATATATGTATCGTTTGCCAAAAAGCACAATTTCTAAATTTATATGTGAAGTGCTTTATGGTGAAGTACTTTATGGTATTCAATTGTATATGCATTGCGTATACTTGGTATTTTTGCTTTTGTCGAGGTTTCGTCAAAATTAGGAACTGTTTTCTTCATAATTTCAGCTATCCTTCTGACAGCTTCATTTCGTGCTACTCGGTCCTTATATTGTGGAATTTTCTGATTATTCTGATAAGCACTGCCACGTATATCCCATAAATACGGATAAGATTCATAGCCTTCAAGAAATTTGATTGTCAGTTCTGCCGACCACTTTTTTTTAGCCATAATAAACTATATAAACTACAATAAACACAAATTAGGATCTCACCCCTCTATCCAGAAGGATTTTAGAACCCATGTCAATAGCAAATACTTGCTGAGCCCAAGTCTGTTTGCACTGTATACGGCGGACCTGGAGGATAGATTGGGGAAGGGGCAAATGGGAGGGTTGGTGGTGGGAGGTAGAAAGGTGCATATGTTAGCATACGCGGATGACATCGTGGTCATGGCGAGAGAAGCGGCGGAGATGAAAGATATGATAAAGACATTGGAAAGATATTTTAGGGGGAAGGGGCTGGAAGTGAATGTGGGGAAGACAAGGATGATGAAGTTTTGTAAGGGTGGGAGAAAAAGAACAGAAAACTGGAGATGGGAGGGAAAAGAGATCGAGGAGGTTAGGGAGTATACTTACTTGGGGTATGTGTTCAGGGAGGACAACAGGGAGGGGTCGCATGTGATAGCTATGGCAAAAAAGGCGAATAAGGTGATGGGACAAGTATGGGGTTGGGGGAAGAGAGTCTTTGGAAGGAATGTGGCAGCGAGGAAGATTATGTTTGAAGGTCTGGTTAGCAGTGTGATGATGTATGGAGCAGAGGTATGGGGATGGAGAGAGCAGGCAATGCTGGAGGACGTGCAAGCTAGATACTGGAGATGGGTGCTTGGGGTGGCGAGAGAAACACCGGGGTATATAGTGAGGGAAGAGGTAAAGGTGGATAAGGTCAGAGTGGAGGCGGGCAGGAGAGCAGTGAAATATGAAGAAAGAATAGAAGGGAGGCCAAACTGCGGGATCTTGGGGGAGTGTTGGAGGGAAATTAGAGAGGGAAAGATCAGATATGGGAAAGGAGACAGAGACAACTATTATAGACGAGCGGGCTACTCGGTAACTGAGATAAATAGTAGACGAAGGGTGGGTAGGGAGATGTGGAGGGAGTTGAGAGATAGGGACCGAGATGTGCAGAGACAGGAAAGAAGGACACAAATAAAAGAGGGAAGGTATAACGAAAGGTACAGGGACATAATTACGGAGGGGCTGCCTAGATACTTGTTATTGGAAGGAGATGAGGAAGGGAAGAAGTTGGTGGCTAGGTTCCGTTGTGGAAACGAGGAGAGAGCTAACAGATACTGGATGGCCGATGAGGAGAGGTGGTGTAGGCTATGCAGGGAGGAATGGGAAACGTTGGAACATATGTTGAATGGGTGCAGTGAGTTGAGGGAGGAGGAGTTGGACCGAGGGCAGATCTTAGGAGAGGGGGGAGAGGGGAAACGATGGATGAGAATGGTTGTGGGGGTAAGGAGACAAAGGGAAGGATGAGGGGATGATTGGGCCGAGAAGCCGAGGGTATGGAAATGGAGGAAGAGGGTAGAGGGTGAAAATAATATACTAATAATATATATTAGAATGTATTAAGGGGATAAAAATTGTAAATATTAAAAACAATAAAATACATCACGTACCCAAGCTGTAAACTTGCTTAATTCGAGGTGTCTGGCAGTATACTCCTGCTCCGACCCCTTCCGGCGATTTGATCCATCTGTGAACATGCAAATATCTGCCTGAACCAGAGAATTTTCATTTTCAATCCAGGACTGCCGCTCAGGCAGTACAATCTGGTATCGAGCATTAATCACTGATAGTGATCCCTCCAAATTTGACGGCATTGATAGCACAGTATCAGTGCTTATAATGTCTTCCGCAGACCATTGGCAGGACATGTCGGAACAGTTTTGAGCATATTGCTTAAATCTGTTCAATGCTGGACATGAACCCCTTCCAAAGTTTCCATTTATGTCTGTCTTGCTGTTATTATCCATTCTTTCTACGTCACATCCTTCACATCATCGGTCCACCACTTTTCCGGAGTTCCTGCACTTCTTCTAGTTTCTTTGTTTTCTCAGTGTCACTGTCACTTATGTTTTTCTGCGAATGTCGCTATTTCTAATCTTGTCTCTCAGAGTTACTCCCAGCATTACTTTGGGTTACACCAAGTTGTTCTGCAGTTTTCGTTGTTAACACTATGGTTTCAATTCCGTAGACATTGGCAGTATGCAGCTATTACACATTAACAAAGTTTAGCCCTTATAAGTTCTTTCTTATAATCTCAAGCTTGTGATTCCAGACTTCGTAGCAACAGCTAATTGTCAATCTGATACATTTTTCATTCTATTATGGAATACTATGTTTTGGAATACAGCACAACCTCAATTTTTAGATATTGAGTAGTTTAAAATCTTCATTTTGTGGTAACAGAATAACAATAGCTTAGTAACAGTCTGATTTATCCTAGAGCATATTGCTCCGAGTAAAAATATAGTATAGTTTTAATTGTTATTCAGCGTTGACGTCACGAACGGCCCTTTGAGCTATGCACCTATTTTAGGGATATAGCAGTCCACTTAGATTCCACAGACCTCGGTATAAATATAAACCCAGGTAGACTGGACGCAACGGTGTGTCCGAATTTGTGTGCATTAAAATTATTCATATAACGAACTTTTCGCTATAACAGACACTCCCTTCCTTGTATTAATTCGTTATATCAAGGTTT